GACGCGCAGCTCGAATGGCAAGCTCTCATGCGAAATCGTCGCCGACGTCTGCGCCAAATACAACGTCCATGAGACGACTGGGTGGCGCATCATGCAACGAGCAAGGGCTCGCCCATGTGATAGACGCGCAGACGTGTCCACGCGAAATCACCTTCGCGGTCGGAAGAAAACCTACGCGCTGGATGAAATTGAACGGCGGATCAAAGCAACACCACTTCGTTTTCGACAAACGTACCGGAGCCTCGCCGCCCACACTGGTTTATCTACATGGACCATTTGGAACTATATGAAGCAGCGGTGGATCCTCAAGCGTACCTGCTGGACACGGCCGGCACTCAAGGAACACCACAAGCAGGAGCGAATCAACCACAAGTTTTTCACGTCAGACCTAGGTAACGAGAGCCATAATGAATTGTTTAACGTCGTCCACGTGGCCGAAAATTGGTTCTATATCACGAAGATTCGTCGTCCTTTCTACATGTGGACCGACGAGGAAAAGCCTTCAAGACGTCAACTCCAAGGAGTGTCGCACATCACCAAGGTGATGTTCTTGGTTGCCGTCGCAAGGCCACGCCATGGGTGGGACGGCAAGGTGGGATGCTGGCCGTTCTTGCGCTCCACGGCAGCGAAGAGGACTGTGTCAATCGACCGGCGGGGACTATTGTCTACAAGCCTGTGTCAGTCACAAGAGATGTTTATCGGTCATACCTCGTCGACAAGGTCATTCCCGCACTCAAGCAAAAATGGCGCCCCTTCAGTTACGATGCCCCGCCGACGACCTTCGTGCAACAAGACAACGCCAAGTCTCACGTCGCGCCGGACGATGTTTCCGTGGTCAGCTCTTGCATGTCGGGTGGTTGGGATATCAGGGTGCTCAACCAGCCGGCCCAATCGCCCGACATGAACGTTCTTGACCTCGGCTTTTTCAACTCTATTCAAGCACTTCAGCAACGAATAGAGTGCTCGTCTATTGAAGACCTGGTGTGCACCGTCGAGCAGTCGTTTGAAGACTTGGCGCCGTCGACGCTGGACAAGACTTTTGGGACTCTGCTTCGTGTGTGTTCCAAGCGTGCCTAGGTGTGGAGGGCAACAACACTTACGACATGCCACGAAGCAAAGGACAGAAACAAGCGGAATGTGATTATTCTATTGTTCTCGACATGCTCTGGCTTAGGTTGGAGGAAGAAGATCGTCTCGATGAGCTGTGCGACCTGGTCAATGGCTTGTCTGCTTCGTAGAAAGTAAAAATATTCGGATTATTTGTACTGCTTTTGTGTGTTGGGGTGAAGATTCACTTGCAACTTTTGCCAAACAAACTAGAATCTGTATGCAGGGAACACGATTACAGCAATAAAGTTTTTATGAGGTCACGCATTTCTTGTTTTCTGTTAACTCTAATCTCATGTGTCACGACGGGGCAAAGTAGGCTCAAGCACTTAGAGAGTCGGAGAAGCG